CTTTCCATATTATGCCGGTCTCTACGGTCTCTCTCTCTCTCTCTCTCAAATTCTAATTACATCAAACATAAAATTGAAAATATTTTTAATTAGGTTTTGCATAATATATTATATAAAAGTGTGTTTTGCATTACAATTATTATATACCTAATAATCTAAACATAAAACACAATACATTATAAGCAACTTTTAATGTAGAATTTTAAATATTATTTCTAAAGACTATTTTTGAAAAATTACATTTTAATTACATTTATGTAATCACTGTTTAATAAATAAATTTTAGTAAAATGACATTAATTTTAATCATTAATACATTAAGAAAATATTTACCAATTTGATTAAAAACATATGTGATTTACAATATTTACAATTATAATTACTAAAACAATATTATTTACGTTTGTCTTATGAGAGTGATTGATTGATTGATTGATTGAGAGAGAGAGAGAGAGAGAGAGAGAGAGCCAACAAACTGGGTGTTAATTTTACAAACAATTAACATTGAACTGCAGTGCAATTAAATTGTGATAAAACAAAAACTCCTCTCTCATAATCTTCATTATCACAAAACAGTTGTGTTCATAATATTTGCCGCATATTTTGCAATACAATTATCCGGTACAGTGACAGGTCGTGTGTGTTTTGCCCTCACATTTACCACCTGTGAAGCCATTTGATTGGCACTGTTTTTTGCACTGACTGTCCAGTGGACAGCCAAACGATTTGCCGATGAATGGAGATCCCGGTATAGCCTTTGATTTGCACACATCTAGTTTAAAATTTAAATATAATTAATTTATATATGTTAATAATTACAATAAATACAATGTAAGATATTCAATACCGGAATTGATTATTATAATTGTTATTAAGGCAGCAAATATGCATAGTTTGTAGTTCATGGTGATATCTTTAAATAATTTATCAATGTTGTTTATAATATTAAAGAATTAAACGGTGTATCTATATTATTATATATTATCATCGTACGGATAATAGGTATTTATGTTACAAAAAGTACCAGATTAAATTACATTCACAGGTATTAATACGAATATTAGTATTATTTTATTTGTAATGTAAGCATTAAAATGAACTTTTAATGTATTTTTATTATTAATACAAAGAAAAATAATTATATAATTTCTATAATAGTCTGTAATTTGTGTCGTTATTACAGGATTTTAATTGTCTTCTTTGCAGACATAAAATTTTGTGTTAATTTTGCTTATCATTCAAATAAATGTGTTTTGCAAACGTTTATTTTATTTTAATTTCCCGTATTATATGAATTGCTCTATGCAAGAGAAGCACATCTCTGAATTAATGAATTAAAAGAGATGTGTCTCTCTTGCATAAAGCAATTCATATGTAGTCAATGTAGAATTCATCGCTGAGTTCGAATCTGGAATCTAAAATTTTTTATTTCGAATATTTTTTCGAGTTATTCGACTTAGAAATGTTTTATATTGAAAATTTTAAAATGACTTAATTTACTAATATGATATATGGGATTTGTGTAGATTTAAGCACTGATTAATATTATCAAATCTGTTTTAAAATTAAATGTATAATTTTCGAACTATTCGACTTTAAAATGTGAAAATTTGAATAACTTTAAAAATATTTGATGTAGAAGATTGGAAATTAAAAATCCAAACTGATTAATATTATCAAATCTGTTTTAAAATTAAATGTATAATTTTCGAACTATTCGACTTTAAAATGTGAAAATTTGAATAACTTTAAAAATATTTGATGTAGAAGATTGGAAATTAAAAATCCAAAATCAGCGTCAGATTCTACATCGAAATCATATATCATATTAATAAATTACTTCATTTTAAAATTTTCAATAAAAAACATTCTAAGTCGAATAACTCGAAAAATATTCGAAATAAAAAATTTTAGATTCCAGATTCGAACTCAGCGATGAATTCTACGGTGACTACATATAAATTGCTGTATACAAGAGAAACAAATCTTTTTTAATACATTCATTTCAATGCTTGTAATGATTCAGAGATGTGCTTCTCTTGCATAGAGAAATTCATATGTAATAATGTACCAGCATTATGCTCATTTGCTATGGTATATTATATAGATTTCTGGTAGAGTGATCAACTAAAGTTTAGTTTAATAGATCATGTAATAATCACTCTATACTATGTGTATAGACAATAAAAAAGTGCGTTTTGGTGCTTTCTTCACAGAAAAAAGCAATTTTCTAATTCATTGTTACAAATATTAAAGTTGTGTTTCAATACAATGAGTCAAACATTATTTTATCTAAAGTTAAGTTTTTCTGTGAAGAAAGCACTAAAACGCACTTTTTTATTGTCTATAACTGTATAATACCTTATTATTTAAGCATATTATTGTATTTATTTTAATTTCTTTAAATCGGGTGCTTAATTTTTTAAATAAATAAGACTATGTTGAAAAGTAAATATTTTTATCAAGGCATTAGAGACCTTAGCAAGAATTTTAAAGAATTTATTGAAGAATTCATAATATTAATAAATAATTATTAAACACGTAAAATAAATTGGTCACTCTGTTATATTATGTTAATACATGTATTCGGTAAATTGATTAATAATTAGTTTATTACAGTATTATTAGCTCAGAATCACGTAATAATTTATTTGTCTAATTTTGTTTTTATAAATTTTATTATTGATTAAAAAAGACCATGAACTTTATTTTATAATAAAGACTTTATGTGATTTACAATGTGTAATAAATAATAAATTATAATATTTTAATAATTAGTATTTAGAACCTTAGAAATATTCTAAACAAACAAATTAATGAATATAAATTGAAAGTATTATAAATTCAATTTTATAACAAGATAAAATAGCATTGTAATTGTTATTATACAATAACGTATTAATTTACAATAACACAGATTTTATTATAATATTGTACTTAAGTACAACATTGGGCAATGAATGTTTTTCGGAAAAATCAAATTAATACTTTTACTAATGTCTACTTAAAAATGTAATCTTCATTATGAGCATGCTAACCTTGAGACAAATCTTGATTACAAGATTAACATTTAATTTCCAGATTCCCGGAACATTATAAAACAGCTTGTGCATTTACATAAAGTATTTCTGTTAATCCTGCACAATTATTATAAATAATTCATTAACATTGCGTTGTATAAACACAATTTCGTAATGTTATTTTACAACAAATTAATTATTTTAATGTAATGTACAGAATTAATTATTATAATTAGCTGCATTTATTCATACCAAACAAATTATAATATTCAGGAAGCGCACAAAAATTAGCAAAATTAAATAAATGTGAATATATGTGCTAATATACAAATTAATCTTTTATTGCTTTTATTTTTACATGATAATTTAAAATTACAATATATTAAAATATTTAAAAGTTATAGCGATTGAACGTGTAATCAATTAATTTCAACCATATTTCAAACCAGATTAACCGATACAATGACAGGTCAAATGTGTTGCGCCCTCACACTTGCCATTCTTAAAGCCGAGACCCACGCAATGACTTTTGCACTTACTATCGAGAGGGCAGCCGTACGTGTCCTGTGCCGTCACGTCTTCCTCCGGTGCCGGCATCGCATCGCAAGTTTCTAGTCATTCAAAAGTTATTAATTTTAATACATTAATTAAATTTAATAATTTATTAATTACCGGTACTAATGAATACTATAGCTATTATAATAGCAGCCATGCATAGAATTTTGGTCGAGTTTTTGGCCATGGTTAGTTTATTTTAAATATAGGCTTTAAACAAATGTTTTATTAACAACTGTATAGTTCAGTAATTTTATAAACCTATTGCTTGTATAGTCAACCCCTTATATACCACTGTTTTATCTTAAAATTGATTATTTTGTGTGTTTTTAAAATAAATTACAATCAATTTATGAAATATATTTCTGAGAATTTTTGCCACATGCTTATAATTTAATCCATTGTTTATTACAACATTAGTACAGAAGGCTTAATAATTTTGTAATCCATGTATTATGGAAAACTAATCTAAGATTAGATTATATCACAAGTTATATGAAAGTAAAAGTACATGTTTTAAGTTAGTAAATTTTCACGTAACTCACACGGTTTTATTAAAAATATTAAAATTTAATCCTGATCATTTTGTAGTATAAACCTATTGAATTGAACATTACTACAATTTACAATCCAGTTAGTTTAGAATTAAGCTGGTTTAATATTTATTTCATGCAATCAAAATATTTTCAAAACATTAAGGTACAATTCAGTAAATTTATTAGTACAGTACAGTTATTAACAATTATTTTATATTTAATTTTGATAAATATTGCATACATTCTATGGTAATAATTATCATAAATACGCTGATAAACAATTAGCACGTGTAAAACCAAACATTGATTAAATGTACCTACCTAGGATAGACTAAATTATACTATTATAATTTAAAATTTTAACTAATTTAATATTAAGGTTTAACTTTTTTATATTTAGTAAAATAATAAACTTGTTACATCTTTATTTTATTACATAACTCATATTATAAAATGTAAATAAAATTTTACAATTAATTGAGCAACATTTTAGTATAATTTTTTAATAACCAATGAACCGTAGAGAAATAACATAAATTAATAATAAATGTACACTGATGCTAAATGTGAATGAATCGTTGCCAGAGTTGTGTTGCAAACTAGGAGACCGGACATCGACCCGTGCCGTACTCTAAACATGTTTTCAGTAAATATTTATATTTTTTAATACATATGATTGAAATGAAATTATATATTAATTATGGTCATCAGTGATGGCTAATCACATACTGGAGTTGTAGTGGTTTGTGATAATAACTGGTCAATTCTGCAAACAAATAGCAATAAATTATTACCAATAATTAAAAAAACAAAACAATTAATGTAAATTACTTAGTAATTATAAGTCCGTCGGCGCCGTTATTGATCAACTGGTCGATGACCTGTCGGCTATTGATTTGGTCGCCCCAGACGTAGACGTGTTGTTTGCGTGACTTTACAAACGGTATAAGAGTTTTGTCGGCCAACAGATCCTTAGCCAGAATAGACATACCATCCAAACCCATACCCTCAGCAAAATATGCGCCCAACGAAACAGTAGTGATGCGCGGGTCGTATGGAAGCTTAGCTTTCGGTTCCCAGTGCTGCACATCGCCAGACGTCAGGAGTGCTACTCTTAGTTTGTTTTGTTTTAATTGTATCCTAAAATAAAATGTTAATAATATTTATTTTTATAATTAAATTAGCGAATTGTTTGAATAGTATTGTATTCACTCAATAGTATTGAGTAAATATCTGTAAAATTTACAATTAATTCAATTAATTGTTTAAAATAAAATAACTATTCATTAATATTGTTGAACAGATTATGCATACATTGAGCACAAGTCTGCATGAAATGATGTTATGATTCCGGATCTGTTGCCGATATTATCATACAATGCCTTCACAATGATGTCTATGTATTCATTCAATTCCAACGGCTTCTCTGCCTCCCAGTGACCGTCCTTTCATGTGATCGCAAATGTATTTTCAATCAAAGGATCCGAAAGTGAAATAAAAATCATAAATAAATATAAATATATGATTGAGTTTTAAAACTAAAAATTCATTAAATAAGTAGTAGAATGTTTGATAGCGAATACAAAATATTCTGTTATATTGCATTCAATAACAGTGACTAAATATGTTTTGCTTATAATATTTGCTTACTTTAATGTTGCATTGCTTTGAGGTTTGCGTAAAAAATTAAGAAAAATAAATATCTTTTTAAACTTATTTTTTGCATAAAATTAATTTGAATTTCATTTAAATATTTATCAAAATTATTATTTAATATATTATTTATCAAAACACAAGTTTCAATGTAAGCGCCCATAGAATTCATACCATTTACACATTTATGACTAATTTTAAAACAATTATAAAATTATAATTATATTTTGAATGAAATTGTAAATTAATGTAACAATTAAAATAATTATTAAATTAAATATAATAGTAAAGTAAATATTTATACACTATATGTCTGCGGATATTTGATCTCAAAATTGATACCACAGTTCGCATCCATTCTCTGTAAGACATCCTCCAGTGTCTCAAAGGGCTGATTGTCCTCATAATCAAAGTTTTTACTCTCAACAGTACTTATCTATGGATAACAGAATAAATTATATTTAAAATACCGGTTAATTATCAAACATTAAGCCTATTTATTACTAGTAGTCAACATTAAACATGAATACAAAATTATTTAATTGTACAGGTATATGTTACCTTTTGCATTTGTGAATATGATAAATCTTTGATCGCGGTGTTTTGTTTCACAAAATCAATGCCTTTATTCTAACAGCAAGATGAGACAATATATTGTCAATCACGTATAACCTTCATGTTTCTAATGTTATTAAAACAAGTATTTTAATACTTCTCGGACATAAAGTTGAGTTTCATAATTGTGATGAATTATCGGTATTTTATCGCTTGATAATTGTATATCCAGTTCAATCATATCGGCTCCCTATTTATTAAACCATGATTAGTAAACCGTAAAAATTAATTTTAAAAAATAATGATAAAATAATTCTGGTTTATATTGCACAAGAAAATGTTAGATGAACTAACAGATAATATTATTTTATAAAACTTGTAAAACTTTTTACCCTGATTTTATCACTCTCAAATAATTGGTAATAGGTAAGACATTTAGTAAATCTTACCATAATTGTTAAGTTAATATAATCTCTTAATATAAACGTCCCTCATTACATTAAATTATTGCTTATACAGTGCAACCTCTCTTGGGGCAACTTCTCTTGGGGGAACCCCTCCTCATAGGGAACTGATTTGAAATTTACTTTGGATTTCCTATACTTATAATGTTAACATAACCTCTCTCAGGGGAACTTCTCGGTAAGGAATACCTCCCCATTAGGAACGGATTTATAGAGATTAAGATAAAACTTCCACTCCCCATAAGGAACAAAGCTAAGCATAAACACATGATCTGTAAAGTATTAAATATTCTCAAACCTAAGTCTTTAAACAAACAGATTTTCATTTAAAGTTTCATTCAATACTGTAGAGTTGTGATAAACACTACATTCATAGTTTGATTAGTGAATTATTATAATAGTGTAAATTAATTTGTTTATTTAATTGTTATAAAATGTCTCAAAGAAGACAATCAATTGATTTAAAGACTAAATATAATGAATTAAAAAACATTGAAAGACATTAATAAACATTTTCAAATATTAGTCAAAAATAAGACATTTTTACTCAAACCTCCCTTAGAGGAACCCTCCCTATTGGGAACACTTTTGCCGTGCAACTGGCCGTTCCCTATGGAGAAGTTGCACTGTATATAATAAGACCAATAATAGAAAAAATTCTGTTCTCAGGTCTATACATACAGTAGTTAAATTCATTAAAATAACAATCATACTAATGATACAGGCAATTTCTATATCACTGTATTCTACCTGTAGGTAATAATTAAGGTCAGTTAAATTGTGTGACACTTACGTGACGACAGGCATAATTGAATGCCGCGATAGTGTTCTCCAGAATATTTTCTTTTCTATCAAATAATTAATTATTATAACAATTAATAATAAAATAAAAGCAATGAGTTATGGCCAGCACTCACAGGTCCGTACGCCTGCCCACACCCGTCCCCCTGTGACCCATCATTGCGCCCGACTTGATATCAATGGTCTGATCCGCGTCGGCATCGAAGCCACTGATCGGCCGAATAACCAAATAATTAACTAAACAATTAATTAACAAAATGTTGTTTTTATTAACGGCTATATTGTGAAATAAATTTGGCGGTAAATGAACAGACCATTAATACTGCCAATCAGAGTGCCCTTACTATCGATGACAGGAGTGGTCACCAGACCATCGGTGGTTGTGTTTTGAAAAAGCACGATATGGCTCGTGGCCAACAGTTCCCGGGCACCGGACGCCTCGTAATATTCAATTAGGTATGCCTTGATTTACAATTAATTAGACAAAATAAAATTTGTAACAATTTTTACCTTAATTAAACTCAATACAACTATTCAAGCACTTACTGTTGTCTCAACATTAGCCACCTGGATGCTAAACAAAACAAATTCACCATGGTTGTATAGCCGGCCGGTCGGTGCCTGCGGTATAAACTGATTTTCGTTGTCATTCAACACAAATATCTTCACGTTATGGTCAGTGACTTTGTTTCGTTTCAAATCAATTGCCGACACTTTGTATGAGATGTGTCCGGAAGTGATGTCTTCGCTATAAAGCGTAAGACTGTTGTCGAAAAACTTGAAATGAATGACAGACTTGTCTCGAAGTATTTCTCGATTACCTTATTGAAAGTGTAAAACTTTTATCATGGTTATAAATAATACAGTATTAACTTAATTAGTAATTAATAATTACTTACACTGAACGATCACAACTGAATGATATGCCAATATCACCAACACTAATATTTTTATAAACATTATTTACTATTTAAAATATAATTACTATTGAAAATATGGTAATAGTTTAATGTATTGCCATATATTTCTCTGTCTTTTTTAATTAATATTTTACATTTTTAATAAGGTAATCGAGAAATACTTCGAGACAAGTCTGTCATTCATTTCAAGTTTTTCGACAACAGTCTT